ATGCAAAAGCGAATTTATATGCAAGATTGATATAGGGTAACAAAAATTGTGCCAGAACTCCCATTTTGTCTCTACTATAGTATAGTTCATCCTTATGCAATAGCTAATTTAACAGTTGAGCTATTGATGAAAAGTCTTGGATGAATTGTTGATAATATCTTACAAGTTCAAGAAAATATTATAACTTGGTGGTGTTGGTAGGGGATTAAATTTTTTTATAGCTTCTATTTTGGCTAGGTCTGGGGCTATTCCTTTTCTATTAATGATATGAACTAAAAATGGTAAGGATATTATCTAAAATTACACTTTTCCAAATTAAGTTTTAATCCTGCTTTTCTAATATGTCTAAATACTATTTTTAAATATTCTAAGTATTCATCAAATGTTCTAAAAAATATATTAGTATTATCCAGATACACAACCATAAATTTCCAAGCAATTTCTTTATAAACTTGATCCATAAATTGTTAGAAAGTAGCAGGGGCATTGCACAATCCAAATAACATCACGTTGAACTCATATGTGCCATATTTGGTGATAAATGCAGTCTTCTCTCTATCCTTTGGGTCCATCATGACTTGCCAATATCTACTAGCAAAATCAAGAGTAGAGAACCATTTTGATCCAGATAGGTATTTAACATTTCTTGTATTTATAGTAATGGGTAAGCATCTTTCTTGGTAATTCTATTAAGTTTTTTATAGTCTATACAGAATCTAAATTTGCCATTCTTTTTACGTACAAGAACAACAGGGGATGCCCAAGGACTTTCTGTAGGCTATATTATTCCACTATCAATCATTCTTTCTATTTCTTTCTTGATAAATTCTTGTTTATCTGGAGGTATATTATAAGGTCGAGATTTGATTGGTAGTACATCTTCTGTGTAAATCTTGTACTATACAAGACTAGTTTGTCCTAGTTCGGAAATATCTTTTGCAAATAAGTCTGAAAATTCTTCTAGCAGGGCTTTAAATTTCTTTCCTTGCTCTTTAGTTAATAGTCTAATGTTTACTATATTTGTCTTTTCTAATATATATTCCTCATATGAAATCAAAGTGTCTATAGTATATACAAAATTATATTTAATATTATTTCTTTGCAGAGCCAGCTGCAGGGCTTGTTCTTCTGTTAGTAAATCTTCTAGTTTTTCAGATAGTTTTTCATTATGCCTAGAATAATTTAAAAATTTTGGTAAGCAAATAATTGAGAGTAGTATTTAGCACGTTCTTGGTGGTATAGGATTTTGTCCTTAAAGAAGTTAGTCATCTGTTTATTCATCTCTTCTAGGTATTGAATATGAGCTTTTAAGTGTTCAATAATTTGTTGTTAAGTTTCTGGGTCTAATTCTTTTTTTTCTCTTTTTGATTCTTCAGTATAGGTTTTGGTTTTTCCTCAACAATTATTAAAGAGTTGGATATAGATGATTCTGGGTCTTCTTCTTCAGAAAGTGTAAATTTATTAAGTTCCTGATAACACTCATTACAAAATCCTTGGTTCGGATCTAGCTCTTCAGTCTGCTTAGCAAGAAGACACTCTAAGCAAAGAGCAACTTTTCTTTTAAAGTTTTTACGTAGATTCTTTATAGCTTTGTGAGAGTCAAAATCTGGTATAGAGGTATCAAATGATTTCTGTAAAATTCTTTGTAAAGTAGTCTCTTTATTCTCAGTTAAATTTACTTCCTCATAATCCGATCTAAGAAGGATAGTAATTTCATCAAAGGTCCATATATGGTTGTATTGGTCATCTTTTTGTTTCTTTAATACTTCCATAATTTGAACATGGTTTTCCTCCTCCAATAAAACTTGAACGAGTCTGTGGATTCTAGTTTGGTTAAGATTATATTGGTATCCAGCATTATGGGTAGATTCAGTGTAATGTCTAATTTTTGTCCAAATCTCATAGTTCTGGTTATAAAGTAAATCCTGGGTTACTTTATAGGCGTACATGTGCTCTAGTTCACAAAATCAAAGCTTTTCTCGAATGCTTTCTAATCTGTGCATTTTCATTCTAAGTAGTTGGTAGTTACAGACTTTATAATTAACTAGGGTTTCTCTTTCTAGTTCTGTTTAATGATACCTAAAAGGTGTTTTCAAACACCTTACTTAATAGATCGGAAGTATTCTTGGCTTCAAGGGTCATCGAAATCTAATCTTTCATAGAAGCCTTTATAACAGGTGGTGCAGATAAGTTGGTTGTCCAAAAGGTAGAGGTCATTTAATTGTTGTGGGGTTAAGCATTAGTAGCAGTGATGGGTTCTATACTTGCTAAAATGAACCAATTTTTTAGCTTCTACTTGGGCTTTGTCACAACTATAGCGGTAGGTTTGGTTGTCTAATTTCTGTTGGGCTAATAGACAATTAATTTCAATATGTCCGGTTTGTTTACAACTAAAACATAAGTTTAGAGGGCAGTCCTTGAATAGGTGATTAGTCTAGTTGCAATTCTTGCAATTGGCTTTTCTATTTTGTTTGCTGGGGCAGTTAATGAGAATATGGCCTTTCTCATGACGGTAGTGGCATTCGTTTTGAGGGCAGTTTTTGTATTGGTGATCCCTAAGACTACAAGTTTTATACATAGGCTAGTTTCTATGGAAAGGTGTATAGACAGTCCATCCTTCTTCTTCTTCATTTGTTGCTGTAAAAGCATAAGCTTTATAAGGAATAAAGTATTTTTGCTCATATAATTTAAAGTCTTCCAAGGTAATGCAAGTAGGTTGTTTTTCTTTGGGCTATTTCTGTTCATAAGAGGTATCAAAAGTTAACTTCTTTCCTTTCCAATACATAGTATATTGGTGATTTTTCCAATTGTAGTTGGCATCAACTTTCTGAAACCAATCATTTCCTAAAAGTAGAGAATATAAAGTAGCAGGTACTACTTCTACATCAATAGGGATGGTTCACAGGTAGATTCCTAATAATGCCTAGGGATCTAGACATAGTTCCGGTAGTAGCCACAATTAAGCTTTTGGAAGATTCATTTATTTCTAGTCCTAATTCTTTTACAACTTTATAAGCAATTATGCTAACAGAGGCTCCACTATCTATAATAGCAGGGTAGGTTTGGTGCTTTAAATCTACAAAGCACTTAATAAAGGTGATATTGTTGTTGTCTTTGGAAGTTGGTTTAGTGTTTTCTTGGTTTATGTCGGTAATATATGCAGTAAGAGCAGTGCAAATGGAGTAGTTGTCCAACAGGCATTCTCAATTATTTGAAGGTTTTGGGTCAGGTATAGGGTTAGATTTTTCAGCTAAGTTGACATTTCGATAGTAGGGTGAAGGTGAGCGGTTAGATCTGGGTTTCCATCTTTTTTGACTTCTATCCCTCGATCTACTTCTATTACGAGAATAGTTTCTGTCTCTGCTTCTGTTTCTGTTTCTATTACATGATTGACTTCTGCTTCTGTCTCGTCTATAGTTGTTGGGTCTATTATTGTAGTTGTTTCTTTGGTTGTTATTGTTGTAATTATTGTTGTAGTTGCTGTTGTTATAATTATTATTGCTTTTGCCTCTTCCATTATTTCTATTTTCTCTTGATTTCTTTTGAAACAATTAGCAATGAAATGTCCTTTCTTGCCACAAAAATAACAAATAGCATTATTCTTAGATAAGCTTTGTTTAATTTCTGCAGCATAGGCTGGCTTGGTTTGTTGTTGGGTAGAGTTGTTGGTGAAACTAATTAGTTTCACCAGTTAAAACTGGTGAAGCTGGTGAAACTTGGTGAAATTCAAAGGTCAAATTGGTGATTTGGTGATATTGGTGATACTGGTGATATGGTGATACTGGTAAAACTGGTGAAACCTAGTGATACTGGTAAAACTGGTAATATGGTGATGCTGGTAATACTAGTAATACCTGGTGATACTGGTAAAACTAACGAAACTGAAATACTGAGAATATGTGTTACTTCACTGACACTTACTTTGTAGACACAATCTTCACCTACAATCACTTTATTGACAAGCTTAAGTCAGGTAGTATAACAAGAAATCCAATCACATAATAAAATAACATGTTGATGAATTAATTGTTAGTGATTTAGATATTTGTAAAATAAACTTACTATTAAAGTAATTATTGATGAAATCTTATATCTACAAAATGAGTGTCAGTAAATTGTTACATATTCTTAGTATTCTAATTTCACCAGTTTCACTAGTATTACTAGTTTCACCAGTATTACCAGTTTCACTAGTATTACCAGTATTACTGTATCACCAATATCACCAATGCTGATTGGTAATTGGTGATTGGTAAAAACTAGTGCACCATCATAAATTAGTTTCACCAACAACTCTATTGTTGGGCCAGATTAATATTAAGTTGAGCAATTTGGTTGGTGAGTCGGGCAATTGCTTTATTGGTTCCTGTTTCTAAAGTAGCAATATGTTTTCCTGTTTTCCAATTTCTAGCAGTGTTCATGATATTAACGAGATTATCAAGTCCAGTGGCTTGAACAGACATGGCAAATTCTAGTCGTAGTCTTTAGATAAAATGTTAGCGAATAAATTGGTTAGGTAATCTTTCAACTTTATAGTTTAAGTTTTTAAATTTTGAGATATAGGTGTCGACAGTATTATTCTCTTGTTTGAGGTCAAAGAGTTGTTGTTGCCATCTTGCTTTTTGGGGAATTGTAAAGAATTTTGTTTTAAACAAAGGTTTAAAACTAGTTAGTTGTTGACCAGCATTATCATAATGCGCTATTTGGGCATCTCTATATCCTTGAACCCATTCATCAGCAATTCCAGTCATATAAACTTTAGCTAAATCACGTTTCCGAGCTTCACTTCAACTATTAGCTTTTGCAGCATATTCAAATTCTTCTAATCAGTCAAGAGGGTCTTGGGTGCCATCTTTAAAATAGGTTCTACTTTAATCAAATTCTTTTTACCTGCTCCTTCTCTTTCCATTGTTTCAATAAAGTGGGTTATAGCATTAGCAGCGTTGTCCATTGCTTTTTCATTATCAATAGGTTCTTCATTATTATCAAGTTCTTGATCAGATTTCTCTTCTGGTTCAATATTTTTTTCTTCATGTACTATGTTTTTTCCTTGTTTAGGAACTTCTTCATCACATATTAAATTTTCTCTTTGTTCAAAATTTTCTTCCTAGTTAGAATTTTCTTCTTGATCAGGGTTTTCTTCTTGATTGTTAATAGTAGTTTCCAAAGCTTCGTCCTTTAATTTGTAGTTAGATATTGGGAATCATTAAAGTTGATTTAAAAGATCTTTAGTATCTCGATCAAAATTTCTAGCTTGTTGATTTAATACATGTTCAGTTAGGGATTCAAGAGGTGTATGGAATGTGCTAGTAAAGGAAATTTCTTGAATACAGTTTAAATGAATTCTATGAATATAAGGTGGTCAATATTGGTACTGTTTTTGGTCGGTAGTGTGAATAGTTAATGTGGAATTCCTTCTGTATAAAAATTAATAAGGCTAGAAAGGTGAATTATTGTGTATTCTATTATCACTACTATAAGGTTCTAAAGTTTCTGCAATTTGTCAAGTAGGATTTACAATAGATGGTCTAGCAATAGTTATATTAAGGATTAGTATAAGTAGTAATAGCAATCTCTCATGGTGGAGTATGATGTGTAGCTTGGACTAAAGCTGGAGAAAAATTTTGATATACAATAGGTCTCAGAATTATTCTTCTATAATCAGGAAAATCAATAAAATTATCGTAATGATTTCTATTAGCAAATAGGATTTCAGGTATGTTTTCAAAATGGGTATTATCTTCAGAATAATTCAAGAACGATAGCTCTAGTGTCTCCAATATCTTGAGTATAATAGCAACTAAAAATAATATTTCTGGCAGCAACTTGGGCTTTAGTTGAATTATATGTAGTTCCTAGTACAAAGAAATTCGGTTGGGTGTTGTGAGTGTAAAATTTAGTGTGATAAGTATTAAAATACCAATCTCAGAAAATTCCTAGTAGAGTACAAGGACTTGTTTGAAGAGGTGGAGAGCAAATATAATAAGATAAATCAGGTGCATTATATTGAAATATGTCAATAGCAAGAGCAGAAAAATTCGTATGTTGGGCTTTGTAATTAATAATATTCTGGTTATGAAATCTAGTTACAGGATCTCCCATAAAAGAAAATAAATTTCGAGCAGTTTAGTAGTAATGCAATTTTGCAAAAAAAAGAAATTATCATCTAGAGATAATTATTAATGAGATAGATAGTAGAATAATAAATAATATAATAATAGAAAGAATAATATGTGCGCGAAGAAAAGATTAAAATGATTATAACAAGTAATAACGTCAAAGTAACAATTTCAAATACAATTTAATTTAGTATGTAATAATAATTTAATTTAATTTTCCGGCTACTTGCAAGAGGTAAAGCATAAACTCTCCAAGTTTTATACTAAAGTTAGTAATTTTATACCTTTAATGATTTAATTTCAATGTTGCTTTTTTAATAGCCAATCCTGCAATAATTTCAAAAAAAAGTTAGAATCCAAGAGATAATTTCTAGGGAAGACCTGATAAAATTTGCTATGATTTTATACTTGTTGGCTAGAAACTTAATCAAAGAAAGGTGGTTTATATTTAAGAAAGGGATTGGGGTAGGGTTTGGATTTCTAGTTGAATGTTTCGGCTTTCCACCAGAAGGCACCAAAATTTTACAATGCTATAGCCTTCTTGGTATTGTTATAGCAAAGTAACAAAGTCACCCGGTACAGTGATATACTTTATAAATATATACGGGGTGAATGTGAAGTATATACTTTTACTTCACAGCAAGAGGCAAATGGTTCAAGATAATAACAGTTTATAGAGATGATAATATTTATTAATAACAGGTTCACAGTAATATCCTTTACTATTAAAGAGAGAATATTATACTATACAAATGTAAGAAGGGTAATAAGAGTAGTTAGGTAAAGCTAGATTCTATGAGAGAGTAGAGAACTCTAACTTAAGTAGAAGGGCAAAAGACTCCCTTTTTATAACTTTTTTACACATAAGAGGTATAATGGTATAACTGCCAAACCATGTAAAAGATACTAAGGGTACTTGTGAGAAGGTACTGAGAGGTACCTGTATGGAGGTACTGAGAGGTACTTGTATGAAGATACTGACAAGTACTTATGTAAAGATACTAACAGGTACTCGTGTGAAGGTACTGACAAGTACTCATATGCAGGTACTAGGAGGTACTCATGTGCAGGTACTGAGAGGTACTCGTGTGCAATACTCGTGTGCAGATACTGAGAGATACTTGTGTGCAGATACTGTGCCTCAGTTTACTAGCCAATAATGTCTCTAAAATTACTATAATAAATATTGATATATATAAAATATAATAACTAATAATAACTAATACTAAATAAATATAACTAATATAATAATAATACATTTATAAAATATAATCTATACTATACTATGCTAATGTTACATTGTGTTACAACCTACTTTGTAATACTGTAAAGTTAAAAATAACAAAAACTATCACTTATTTCTTTTACCTACACAACCTGAATTTAAAACCTGTATTTAAATATCATACAAACTTTACTTCAAAATTTTTTAAACTTACTCTTTCACCTCAACAACAACCTGCTCTAGCTATGGAAATTTCTCCAACTATTTCAAAAAACAAATTCAATAGAATTTCTGAAGAACTTCTTCAATTACCTGCTCCTCAAATCACTTCTAAAATTCTTTTTTCTAATTTCTCTCTGCAATCAAATTCAAATCTTGAAATTATTCCTCATTCTTAACATATACACTACTGCATAATCTGTAAAGTTAACAATATACCTTGTATTAGGATAAACAGCATAATCCAGATACTAAAAATAGCTTTATTTTTAGAGAAAGGCTTATTCATAATGACTACAAACCTCATATTATTTATATCAAATGTAAATCTCTCCCACAAACCAAACCTATGACTCCTGAGCAATAAGCAGTACTTCTTGTTTATATATTTAAATACTCCTCAAGAAAACCTTTCTCAAAAGTGCTTTTAAACTTCTGCCTCCTAAACAAAAACAACAACAAGAAGAATCTTCATTATTTCAAACAATAATTAATACGAATTAACAACAACAGCAATAGCAACAACAACAATAACAACAATATCAACAAGAATCTTCCTCTTCTCAAGAAAATATTAATACAAACCAACAATCTAACCAAACAGATAAAAAATATCCTCTTCGAGTTACTTCTAAAGATTTAGACTGGTTTAAACAATATTCAATTACAAAGAGTATAAAACCAAATACAAAACTAAACACACAACTTGCACAAGACTTATTTAACTTTATCAAACCCTTCCTCCGAGAATTTACTCCTGGCCAACCTATCCTTTCTATAAAAGGGAAAGCCAATACTAACAACCCAAACTACAAGCCCCCAAAGCAAAGTTTTACCTATCTATTAAAAATAATGACAAAAAAACGTCCTGAGTTTCTTATTAAGTTTCTTAAAGATTCAAACCCTAAAGTTGACCTATCCTTTAACTTTTCCTTTACTGCAATCCAAAGTACACTCAAAAATCTTCTTTTCAAATTTACACAAGTATTTTTTACCAAACTTAATTATGCACATATCTTCCGCTCACACTATTCAATCCCATCTTACACTACTGCAAACCGAGGCAAAGTTGCTATTAATTTAGTATATTTATATTTATTTTTACACAATCATTATCAAACTATTCACTATCAAAACTTTATTAAAGATTTAGATCTCAAACCCATCCAACTTACCTTAAAATACAATATTCTAGTTGATGAACCAAACAAACCACTTTTTGATATCTATAATGATAGGAGATTTAATATATTCATAACACTAAATCTTCCTAAAAGTAAATTCCTTAAAACTTTTCGCATTTTATCACTTAAACCACACTTAGATACACTTAAAGAATGGTATGAAAACTTCTTTGAAACATATGGAAAACAATTTGAAAAAATCGACAAAACCAAAGTTTTCAACTTTATCAAATAT